CTGTGTCTTAACAGAAATACAATTTCCACCCCCACAGCCTCCCTCAGAGTGCTCCTCTTCACACTGTCCACACCCACCAGTGCTGCCTCGTACCCACTGCAGTCCAGAACTGTGCCAGCGACTTCACAGAAGTCACGGTGTTCAGCACCGCCACGTGCTGCACTCACACTGAACATCTGACTGACAATTTATGAAGTCATTTAACCTATTTTTGGCTAAGGCTGACTAATTAGCAATGTCAAAGAAAAATCTGAAAAAAAAGAATAGGCATTACTTGAAACAGCAATGCTGAAACTGAAAAAATCATGTTTTTAGCAATAAAATCACCACTTGACCATGAACACAGTAAAAAATCCCGTCACCTGAACATACTTTATTTTCTCCTAAACAGGCAGTAAACTTAAAACTTCTTTTGTAGTATTTCAGTAAGGCTCATCACTATGGTATGTGAGCAACCCAAAGAAGATCAAGTTGCTCATCTGTATTAAACAACAGTTGCTGCAGGTTGAAAACAAGCAGGGCTTCAGTTGTACAGAAACTCAGCTGAGGTTTCTGTTTGGCAAAGATGATGTATTTGAAACAAGGCATGGACCCAGATTCCATTTGATATGGTTCTTCCTGATGCATAGATTTCAGGTAAATTCAATAGCTCCTCTCCTTCCCCTCCATGGAACAAAAAACTTTTCCCTCTGTGTGCTAACAGGATTAAGTGTCACATTTAAATTTCATCAAACTCCACTTTGTTCTCTAACCCCTTCTCTGAACTAGCAGACCGCTGCTGAAGCAGGCACAGCTTCTCCTACTCGTTAACATCACGGACACGCTGTGGCAGGGATCCAAGCTCTGTTTTCCTGCAGAGGATATAGCTTCTGTGGAAGTGAACAATCCCCAGCGAAAGCTTAACACATCGTCCCATTTCCTCTGTTGGAAGGGAGTCTCCCAACTCACGCTCTGAACAAACACAGTCCTGGAGCCAGCCCATGGACAGTGTTTACAGAAACAGCAACGTCACCGATAGGACAGATTCGGATACTTTGGAACAAAAATAGTTTGAAAGAAAAGAGAAACAGCAGTATTTTTTTCCCCATGAAAAAGTAGTAAATTAAGCGTTAGTCAAATGCTGATACTTTTTTTTAGCTATTTCATATGGAGGCTTCCTGAAAAAACGTATCCTATTTTACTGCGGTTAAAGTAAATCTTATGCTGAACAAAGGAACTGAGAGGTACCAATTTAGCAGCAGTTCTATATTTCCATCCCCACCTGTCCTCTCGCTGCCTAACTTCCACATGTGCACGTGAGGGGCCAAAGTCATACCAGTATAAAATAAAGGAACACTTTTTTCCTTGTGGGATTTGTTTTAATTTTTTTTTTAAACGCACTGAAAAACTTTAGACTACCCAAATTTTGTCAAAATATGAAGGCAGAGTACCTTAACTATTTAAAGGTTCTGGACCATCTTTAATTCTTCATACATGGACTTTGACAGCCTTATTTAATTAGTACCAACTTTTCACCCCTTAGCATGCTGCTAAGTATTAGTCTATTTTTATTTTATTTATTTTAAGGAAGTGGAACAATACAGTGATCACCAGAAATAGTACATCAAAATAGTACATGCTGTACCCTGTACTTAAACAAATAAATACAGAAAACTGTAATCCAAGGGTAGGATATATAAATATAAACTTTAATTTTCACAGAGTTCATGAGAATTATAACCTTTGGAAAACCCAGTCCATCTGGTAATTGAAGTGGTTTCAATCTCACAGTTACTAACACAGGAACGGAGCAAAAAGCTGCTCTCAGCATTCATTTTGCCAACGAATCAAACATAACATCATATGGTCAAATGTATAACACAAGGCAAACAGGCACAAGAGAAAAAGGTACCACATTTTTTTTCTTGTTTCTACCGCACTTCCAGTCCGACAGCCAGCCTGGTGCCTATGAGAGATACAGCTGATATGAAGCAAGAAGCAAAGAAGTGTCAGAGAAAATGTGAAACTTCAGGCTTCATCCAAGATGCAGGAAGGAAGAAACTCAAGGGTCAGCTGCAGAAGATAAGGGCAGAGACAGGCTCCAGCATATGAATTTTTTAAGCAAATGGCTTGGCAACAGAAATAATATCTTTAAAAGTTTCTGTGCCCAATGCTTCCCACATTGAAGTTGCACAATCTCATCATGTTCCCCTCTTCAGGGCTGTGAATCATGCTAACATGGAATGGTGCTACTCATGTCCAGAGCTTCTCTCTGTACAAAACTACTGAGCAGGGTACTTCTCAGAAAACCTAATTTGCAAGAAAAGTCTTCTAGACCCAGTCAAAGAGTGGACAGAGGCTTCATTTTCTTTCACAAGACTTAAACCACCAGGAAATCTAAATTGCTGCAAAGGAAAATAATAAGGTAAAATACAATTTAAATAAATAAAGCAACTGCATACAGTTCCGCCTGTGCCCTTTCTGGCTAAAGATGAGGGTAAGCAGTTATTTCAGACAGACCCCATATTAACTTCCGGACCAAGCTAAGTGAAAGCCTGCCAAGTATTAAAGGGAGAAGAAAGGGATGTAAGCAGCTCGGGTACTTCCTTTCCAGAGATATTTTTTACCAGCACTGCAATTCTACAGTTCTAACTGAGGGAACTGATGTGTTAGGTAGAGTTCAGCAACATTCTGATTTTACCTTCTGTGCTGAACACAAACCCAGAGAGGGTTGCTGGCAAGTGGTTGTTTGTTAGGAGGCTATGTAAAATAGTGAGAACACCTCGTGATGGTGATTAAACAGCCATGATAACTGCTTTCCCTCCTAGCCTGACTTATGTTTCTAGCTAGACATACTTTACCTTCTCTTTGAGGCTGCAGCAACTGACCTCTGCCTGCTCACAACTATGACAGGCTGCACAAACTGCACCGAGGTTACCACAGGATAGTATCAGAAATGATTCTGTCATCACCATTAGAAACCTCAGAAAAGGCCAAAACCCAAGTTTTAGAAGCACAGTAATATATACACCCTCTTCATAACAAAAAATCTGTCCTGATTGCTGCTCATGCCAGTGCAAGGAAACTTTGTTCCCTAGAGCTCAGCAAAGTGACACCTCTCGCCAACACAAGAGCAATGCCAAGACAAGCTAAAACGGGAACGAAAGAGGAAACTGAAAGTTAAGTTGGGTTCAGATTTAAATTTTTTCAAAAAGTCCTTCATTCTGAAGTGATAAATGTGGAAGCGAGGATTAAATTATGGTCAATTTTATGTCACGTGTCTTCGAATTCTTTGGAGAGGTAGAAAGTTGACACAAATCCTCTGCATTAGAAATTATTGCAACAACACTAATTTCTGTGAGAAGATCTGAAAGCACACATCTCGTTTTCTAAAATGCAAATATTTCGCTCCTTGTTTAAAGTGTCTGAAGGCTTAAAATAAGAGCAGATATAAAGCACAGTTCAAACCTGTCACATACATTAGCCGCCAAGCATAACTGCATTCAAGATACATTAGTTACATTTTTGGTCAGCTCAAATAAATGTTTTTCCCACCAGCTGCTATTTCCCTCCTAAGTGGAGAACACTGGTTCTACAAATCTATACCAGCAAATTAAAGAGTGTTAGCAACCTAAGCCAAAATGCAATCAAATAAAAGTAATGATTTATTGCTTACAATGAAAACTAGAGGACATATATCTTCAGATTTATTTTCAGTAAAAAACTGATATTCCGCAAAATATTCCATAAGAGAGTTCAAGAAATTCAGTGCAAACTATTTCTCAATATATGATGGATGTCACAACTCTGATTTTAGTTCATGATGCAATTTTAGCACATCCTGTTTCCACTCATATACTTCACACAACATAACAGATTTGCTGCAACCACAGAAACATCTTCGAAAAGTTAAAAATTAATTCTAAGCAAAAGTGGTTTATCTGTACATACTCTACTAGGAGCTGCTGAATCTCTAGGAACAAAGATACCTCACCAGTATCCAAAACAGACAGCAGACATTCCACAATGCAATTAGGAGCATTTTCTTGCTCTATAGCTTTCATGGAGGAGAATGCATATGACACTACCTTTAAGTCAATACACCCAGCAAGTGTAGTCTGCCAGCAGTTCAGGAAACTCTGCACGAGCAGTGACAATGATATAACCAAGTCCAATCACTCGTGTCCCATGGCGTCAGAGAGTAAGTGCCAGAAGTTTGAAGGACTCAAAGCACCAATACCCTTTCTAGGCATACTTTAAATCTGTTTTAGCTATGAGTAAATGAGTACTCTTACATAGTCAAGAGGAGCTGTAGACAGTAAGCACTTGTGAACATAAGGCAAACTGTGTGCATCTCAAGGAGAGTACTCAGGCAGGGATATCTAAGCTTCAGCCCCGATGTGCAAGCACCTTCACAAACATCAAACATTCATCTGGCAGTGGAGAAAACTGCAGAAAAATGGTAGACAGGCTTAGACCTGGGTCCAGACAACACTAGTGCAAGGAAAATTATTTTCATATCTGTATTTCATGCTTGCAGCTTTTTGCCTGTATCTTAAGAGAAGCACTTATACCTTCTTCTCCTCAATGTATGTCCACTCGGCAGTATAAGGGCTAAACCCGTCTTACATCAGTGATATTGACAGAAGATTCTAAACATTCCAAAACAACACTGTTCTCATAAGCAGCAATTACAAAATGCCTGAGGCAAAAATGTGTCAAGTTCCAAATTTTAATTATTCAAACCCTGTACTGAAATACTCATGGCTCTCTTTTTCCTAAAGCTACCATTTTGATTCCATTTTACTAATGTGAAAAACTTGCAGATCTTCTTCATAAGGAGGAGAATGCTCAGATTAGGAAACTTGCAAGCATTTTTCACTATGGGTTTGCATCTCCTTTACAATCGGATTTTCAGCTCAGCACACTGAAATGGAAGGAAATGTAACAGGAAAAAAAAAAAGATCTTTTAACAAAGCTGCTATCTGCAGTCAGTTCCTCTCAGGAATGAAACACCCAACTTTCTAGGAGAGCACCAGATATATTTGTATAAAATATCTTTGTGATAGAAATGAACAAAAGAACAACAAGGCTCCTTTACAGATTTCCTCATAAAAGACATGAAATCCTTCTCTGTAGATAGTTGCTATGGTGCAGACTTAAGGGGAAAAAGAGGGGAGATCAGACTTCTTGTTTACAGGTTTCCAATATGCTCCACTTGATCCATCTTGAAATTGAAACCCTTTAGCTTCCTGTCTTAAGGCTGTCAGATGGTAGAGAACAAACAGTGTTAGCAACTTTACAAAGCCCCCACATGTTCTGCACAGAGCTACAGAAAAACATCCACATGGATTAGGCAACAGACAGGAGGGACAATATAGTTTCAAAGAGAATAAAAGCCATACTAAATCCTGAAGGACTTATTCAAAGGAAAAGAGACTTACTCTGGGAATGAAATGCCAGATTATCTCTGAACATTGTCAACACTTCACCACAATATAACACTGCATGGATCTATTAAAAAATACACCATTTTGACATTCTCAGGTAAAATCCTGATTCTTCTGTGAACTTCTTACACAGGTTTTATCCCAACAGGTATGCCTGTCTATTTACAGATTCAAGAAAAGTAAGGCAGACACTTAGGGTAGGATTAAACTCACAGTAAGACACCTAAACCATGCAGTCCTCTACAGTCAAAAAGCCTACAGAGAGATTCAGCTGACTCTACAGCAGACATTTGTATCTAATTCAGGTAAGTGCTGTCGTTTAAATGTCCTGGCAGTTTCACCTCAGTGCCACTTGCCTCTCCTGTAAACCTTGTATCCATCAGCATTAACGCAACTTTTACCAATGCTTTAGAGATCCTAGCTGGCATCTAGTTCAGGCAGGTGACCAGAGGGCTACTATCCAGGCCCCACTTACTGTACCAAGGACATTTTTTTCAGCTATGAAGACAGATAGTACAGAAACTTGGTGCAAAAGTATAAAACTTAAATGTGCTTCATTAGTCATGAACAGAATGCATCCTTTATTCCTTTGACAATTGCTAAGAATATAGCTATCACTCATTGAATACCCAGGCTGCTATTTATTGTGGTTTGGGGGGCTATGCAAGAGATTTGGCCTTTGCAGTTACTTCTTTAAGGCCGCACGTTTCAAAGAAGCTGCCAAATGTAATTTCCTCCCTAGATCCCTTAGTCACTTGCCAGAAGATTAGACCAGAACCTTTTTGTCAAAACCTTCTATTTAACCTATTTGCATTAACTGCCTTAACCAACTTATTTTCAGTATACCCACTCATATAGGACAGGTTAGTTCTCCTATTCAGACAGTGACCAGTCTGGTTCTGTCATATATTGTGCTTCCACTAAACATTCAGGGTGAGGTAGAAGCAACCACCTGATCCAGGATAATTTCAAGGTTTAGGAACTAAATGATGCAGTCTTTCTAAAAAAAAAAAAAGTACCAAATTCCCTGCATGGACAGAGATGCCTTTAAAGACCTCCAGAGGGAGATCCTGTCTAATTTTTAGCATTTAAATTGCTTTGCACATCCATCTTAGGCATCATCAGTGACACCACCAGCATCTTGCTACAGCCTGAATATTCAGCTCAGTCAGCTCAGGAATTCAAAACTCAAAAACAAATAGAAAACAAAATAAGGCCTGTGACAACTTTCAAATTCTATGGCAGTTTTCTTGCTCTCTTTAGACTGCCATTTATTTATTCCTTGCCTTCAGAGCTTCTGTTTGCCTAAATCTATTTCTCTTTTTTTACCTGCTTACTGTTTGCACAAAGTGTAAAAATATTATTTTCCATATTGTCACATATGCCTGCAAAATTTAACTAATGCCCCAAACCATTTACTTCTCAGTGTTAGCAAACAGCCTAAACTGAAACAGTAGCATCTAATCTGTATTTGTGCTACCACAAGCACCACTAGAAAGTTGAAGAAGAGAAAAATAATACACTGGAGGGTACTGATCTAGACTTCTTTCCATTATTTTTTGGTTATTCCATCTTCTGGGATTTGTTTCCATGGGATATTAATCTACTGGCTGTCAACCCAGAAACCCTCCTGTGCTCTGCTGACAAAAATCAGACCTTCACTAAGGCCAGACTGGGACAAAACAACTACTAAGCTTTAAACACTTGAGAAAGCATTGCCCCTTCATATTTACAGGCATACTTTCCCATTTATTTAACAAGCATCAGAATAATTCTGCTAATGTAGCTATAACCCATTTCTCATATCTTAGAGATAAAGGATACTGTGCAAGAAAGGCATCCAGTGCTCCTATAGCTATACTCCTTACACACAACCCACCCAGTAGTAAGAATATTTAAGAGAGTCACATAGTTCCCATGGAGAGAGAGCTGAGATCTTGCCGGATTTTACTCCAAATCTACTGAAAACAGAAGAGCTTTTGCCAAGTCAATGTTGGCAAGTGTTTCCAGCATTATCCTGTCTTGCTAAACTGCATTTAGATTTTGCTGGACTTATTTACTTGTTCAGTATGCTCAGAGAACTGGAACTATTTGTTGCTGTAGAGAATTTGGCTTACTTTGAAGACCTGGAACAACATTTAAAAGATGAATCAGAAACTGACTAACTTAGGAATTTGATCTGTTAACCTCAGCTCATAGCAATAGAGCATGCTCAGTGTTAGAAGTAATCCATAGTGCAGCTACTTCAGGTCTGAGACCAGCCAACTCTCTGAACTCTCAAATGACACTTCTAACATGCCGTTTTTATGTAGCCAAGTTCTGTCCCTCTCAAAAATACCATCCAACACAAGCTGTAAGATGACGCTGATGATCCTCTTTAGAGGTCAAAACATCACAACCATGTTTTATGAAAAAAAAAAACAAACCAAAAACCATCAGCATTCTTTGCTGACTGCATGGAAATGAATCCTCTGAAGGCTTGACTTTCAGAAGACATCAAGCATCCAGCCTCTCTCTCTCTCAAACACAAAGGTACATCTCTTTAGGACACCCTGAGTTAAAGGCTGATCCCTCTCACTGTTGAGCTGTTGTCCACACCCTCACTCCCCACAGAGCCGGTCAGTTCTCTGCTTCCACCCTGTCAGTGAGGCACGCAGGAATGCTTTTGATCAGATGCATCAGAGGTACACTGGTGACATATTTTGCCTGACAGACTCATGCTCTACTGCTCAACACAAAAACCGGACTGAAAATATTTAAGTATTTCAAAAATGTTATCTGCAGCAGTTGTTTTCAAGCTTTTGGTACTGTTTCTCCCATGCTTGTCCATTCCACATTTTCAGCTTTACTACCGTGCTTTTTCTCTTTTTTTTTCTTCGCTAAGCCGGACATTGATTCTTCATGCCTCCCTCTATTCCCCCAACTCCTGGCACTGCCCACTGCCTTGCAATAGACAGCAACCCTGCCTTCCCTTTTCCAACACAGAAGCTATGTACTAGGTTGTGCCATAGCCATGGTCCACCTATCCTCAAAGCACATGCCTTGAAAGAAGTACAGAATACCACTTAGGCTCGAGACACAGTGTCACTCTTCTAACTCCTCACTGTTATAAATTCAGCCTGGAAGATGTGTAAACATACCCTACACTTCTAGTTTCTAAATGTGTACATGTATGTACTTGGATTGCATTCAAGGTGACAGTACCACCTTGCTTCCTAAGAGTTACAAGCAACCTACCATATGACCCATTCCCATCTTCATTGTACCTTTCCAGTATTTAATTCACTTGCAGCTAACAGGACTATCTGAGGACTTATCTAGAGAAAAAAACAAACCAAGAGAAAATGAAGAATCAAAGCCTACCACTCCCCACCCTAGGGAAACATACCACTGAGTGACTATTCTTCATCAATAGTTTTAAATCTGTTCACCAGATACATCATATCTAGACTTTTTACTATTTCAATTTTTTCTATCAGAATGTTTGGGCCTCCAAATCCAATATCATGGGATATATCATAAAGGCTAGTGTTTGTATGAGGATATGAATCTGCCTGATTTAACAGGAAATAAAATAGACAATGTAGCAAGTGAGTTCCATTTCCTGGTAGGATCTACTCAACTTAACTACTTTGGTCCAAGTCCCATTTCAGTATTTCTGTCCAAAACCACATCACGATGACAGTCTATAAGCGGTCATAAACTCTACTCACCCAGTTGAGCCCTGGCACAATTTAGTTTCTATCTGTAATCTGGAGTACACTAATTTTAGATTAGCAATCCACAGAGTTTTTTAATATTACTGCTCTCCAATTCCTTGATACAAGTTATTGGCATCTAAGCGATGTCCTATTTTAATAGCTGTTGTTAAACATCCTCCTGGCTTGCTACAGTTCAACATTTGTATCTGACTATGCCCCAGCTTTTCAATAACAAGCCTGACAAGTTTATAGAATATTGTGTTTAAGCACTACTATATAATTTTGACTTCTACCTGATCATGAGCACCAACATTAAAATCCTTTTGTGTCTAATAAAAGTCTTTCTTTCTCTCACTGTCCAGCTGTCCTCCCTCCATCCATGACATTTTCTTACTAATTTTATACATTGCTTCATTATCTGCTAATTTATATTCAAGGAATAAAAGCTGACAGACATCTATTTAGGGATTTCTTGTGGAAGGAGGAAGGGAAAGAATATTTTAAAGCACCAATTCCACCTCTATACTCAGACATTTTATCTTTGCTATCTCCCTTGATTATGGATTTTTCCATGACTAGTAAGATTTTTGTAAGCCATTCAAAAGTGCTACACTTTTTCAGTTCGTATTTCATCTTTTCCCTTGTGTTGTTAAAAAGCTTTCTATCTTTTGAATTTCTTCCTTTGAGTAAAAAATACTGAATTCATCTGACTACAAACGGACTTCAATGAGCAAAGATATGTACACCTGAGGTAGTTATCCCAGACTGACTTTGAAGCTAAAGGAGAGAAACAAGCAGGGCAACTGGGGACAAGTCATCCCATTCCTAAATACATATCTGAAATAAAACATGTAAATTGTAATGTAAAAGGGC